AATGAAGTAGAAAGCAAATTACAGAGAAAAGTAGCAGAGCTGAAGTTTGATTTTCTGAGAAGATAACTCCCCAGCTAGATTGCTCAAGAAAAGAAGAGAGAGATGGAGGGAGAGAGGGAAAGAGAGAGGAAGAGAGAGAGAGGATGAGAGAGAGAAAATTACTAACATCAAAAATGAAAGCAAGAGGTGAGGAGCAGGAGGAGTCAACATGATGACAAGTCACAGAGCATGTGAAGGAAGCCACCAGAAACAGGGAGAATAAGAATCTTAGAGATTTTCCTGTGGAAGTCTTGGTGTGCATTTTTATTAAGAAAAACATGCCTATGCTTACAAGTTTAGAAGCCAAAGTCATCCTTGCTTCAACCCCAATCCAATGAGCAGGAAATGGAATAGAAACTGAGGAGCCACTTTAGACTGTTGAAGTCACCTCCTCAGTCCTGTTAAAACATATTGAGTAGTACACTGAGGGTTTGTGCATTTCACAGTATCAAAATTACCTAAGAGTGCAGAGGGAAAGGAGGGATTAAAAACCATAAATCCTGAGGTTGGCTCTCAACCATCACACGTGTTCCTCAGCCTCCTCCCCATCCCTCTCCCCTCCATACCCGCTCTGCCTGCCTTCCCAGTGTCTGGCTCCTGGGTCACTGTGTCTTCTCACTCCCTTTAGGGGACGCTCCACAGTCTCTGACCTGCTTCTCTCTTCTGTCTACCTCCCGCCCAGGCCCCCACCCTCTCGGCCAATCTCATGTTTTAGAAGCGTTCAGATCTTTGCTCAAAGATGTTGGGACCCAATTATTCTAAACTCTCTTTAGAAACTGGGGGTACCAGACACCAGTCTGTTTTCTGCTGTGCCGTGGTCACCAATGCTGCGTGATAAGAAGAGCCCTGCTCATTATACGAATCCTTATCAGGCCTCTGCTCCATGCTCATGTGGTGCCAGGTGCTGTCACAGATCCGTGTGTGTGTGTGTGTGTGTGTGTGTGTGTGTGTGTGTGTGTGAGTCCCCCGACCTTTAGAGAGCTGGAGCTCCCATCCAGAATCTCTCATCTGGGCAGCTTCTCTGGCCTGTGTTTTGTCTCAATGTTCTGTGTTAGACGCTATTCACTGAGAGGATTGTGGAGCTGGAAATGTGCAACTACTGCTTGCCAAGGAGAGCTCTGAAGACTCTTCTACTTGCAACCCCTCTGTGATCAGCTCCAGAGGGAGGACTCCTGTCCCCGGCCCTAGCCTCCCTGCCCCAGCTCCTTCGGCTTCAGCTTCCTCTACGTCCTTCCAGTTACCCAGCTAACAGGGAACTCTGCTTGTTGGGGACAAGACCAAAGACTCTTCCCTCTGAGGACTTTGAGCCAGGCAGACATGGGATCAGACAGGACAATCTCTAAGACACAAACAGTTATGGAGGCTGAGTGAGGGGTGCCTCCCTTTCAGAGTCAGGAGTGGCCAGGAAGTGGGTTTGATCTTTTCTCAATCTGAGAAAAGTCAGTTGGGGTGGATATTAACTTCTATTTTTGCCTTGAGAGGTATTTTGGAGGAGAACTATTTCCTCAGATGTTCATTGAATTAAAAGAGATGAATAGTCAATGAGTGGGCAGTAGGTTCTGGTCCTGATCTCAAACCCAGATTACAGAAGGTTCAAGGGGGCACCAGGGTCTGAGGATAGAGTTATTAGAGGGCAGCTTCAGAGTCAACCTAAGGATTAGCAATTACCACATAGATGGCAGACAAAGTGAAGAGGGAAGAGTGCCAGCCATCCCTTCACAGCTGGTTCTAATCCTGAGTCCACCACCTACCAGCTGTGTGACTTTGAACAAGTTACTCAGCCTCTCTGAACCACAGTTTCATTATCTGCAAGATAGAAATTATACCTACTCCGTGGCATCCATGTGAAGATTAAAGATAGCTAATGAGTTCTAGGGTCCACCATTATTGATGGTCACAGAAATGGTGGTCACTTTCTCAAATCTGTACCTGTCCCCTGCCACCATCTGTCCATCAGAAAAATATGGGCTCAGTTTTCCTTTTGAGAGAGGTGTAGAGAGCAGAGTTGAGATGTCCTTGTGTGGAGGGGTGGCCTTGGCCGTCTGGAGGCTTAGAAAGTTGCAGAGCTTTTTATTTATTTATTTACCCATCAGTCATGAAACTTGCTGATGCTGGACTAGGGGACTGGACTGTTGGAAATGTGAAGTCCTCTCTGTGTAGATGTCTCTCTGGCCCTCCACCAGTGGGCTCGCCAGTTCTGACATATTTCCTGGAGAAGGGTGAAGTGTCTCTAGGTGACATGGGCAGTATGCCGACTCAGCAGCACATGTTTACAGGACAAAAGTCACCTGCTGGGGTCATTGAGCACCTTTTTGTCCTGTGGCCCTGGCCTCATTAGCCCCATGTTCTCATTAACCAGACCATCTGGCCCCAGCCTAGCTGATACACACACAGTAGTTTCTGGCATCTGATAGTCTGTGAGCCAAAAATTTATTTATCAGCACGCTGCACCACTGCTATAGTTCACGTAAGTGCAGTTGTATGATGCCTCCTGCCCCTAACTATTGGGAAGTGCGCAGTAGTCTCTTTCTGGTAGTCTTTCCCACTGTGTTCCAGTGTCTTGGGAGTGTGTTTGTGTTGGGATGTACAAGGCCTGGATCTCAGGCTTGGTTCTGCTACAAAGTTATTATGTGACTCTGCACAAATCACTTTCTCAGTCCCAGTTTCCTTGTCTGTAAATTGGAATTTAATACTCTGTGCTCTGCCTGTCTCACTAGAATGAAGTACAGATCCAAGTAGAAAATGAATACTTTAGGGCTTTGAAAGTGAAAGAGGTTAGAGTACCTGGGTATGGTGGCTCATGTCCATAATCTCAGTACTCTGGGAGACTGAAGCAGGAGGATCCCAAATTTGAGCCTAGACTGGACAATTTATTGATATCCTGCCTCAAAATAAAAAATAAAAAAAGGGCTGGGGATGTAGCTCAGTGTGAAGGCTCTGCATTCAATCCCCACTACTAAAAAAAGGAGGGGGGGGGCGGTTATGGTGTGGCTCCTCAGGTAGGAAGACTATTATTATTAACAACTTCTGTTCACTTTCCTCCAGAGTTTCTAGGCAACACAATACCCTGTGTTCTAAAACATGATCCTTTATCTTCCATGGGAGGAGTTGGGTCCCAGGCCAGTTTAGCTAATAAGGGAATAACAGGAAGTGCCTTCAAGATTCAGAGGCAGATAGACCTTCCACCGGCTTAGACATGAGGATTTGGGGACTTGGGCTACAGGTTTATGGAATCTTTTCCTTGTCATCCAGCCTTCGAGCTGCTTCTGCAGTCTCCCCATTTTGTTTTGCTCATCCGCGCCCTGCAAGCTGCAACTTTCTTGGCCAGGGGTGGCCAGAGTGAGACCTCTGCACCCCTCTGGCCTTCCACACATTAAATGTGCCCACGTCCCACACACAATCTAATTTCTTTACTGTTAGCTGTAGTTTCCAAGTAATCACATCACGTGTGAGGACTTGGGGGAACTGAGGAAACAAATTCACACAGTTTCTGAATGTCTGTAAATACTAGATGTAACAGTGCTGGAGACTTTGGAGTGCAAGATTGTTGCACCATGGATTGCCATTCAGCAGTGAACCGGGGACGTGTACTAGGAGTGGACCCATCTTACATACCTGCCAGTGAGCTCACGAATCAGACACAAAAAAAGACCTTCTACTTGTTCCCTTGAAGTGAAATTGAAAAACAAGAAAAACTAAAATATGGTGTTAGATGTCAGGATGGTGATCCCCCCTACTTAGAAGCTGAGGTTGAAGGATCACAAGTTCAAAGCCAGCCTGGGCAACTTAGGAAGACCCTGGCTCAAAAAACAAAAACAAAAAAACAAAAAAACAAAAAAACAAAAAAAACGGGACGGGAGGCTGAGGGTGCAGCTTAGTGATGGAGCACTTGTGCAGCATACCTGGGGCCCTGGATTCAATCCTAGTACCGAAATAAAAAAGAATAGTGGTTATGTATGTTGTGTGCTGCCCTTGGGGAAGGGGACAGAAAGAGGAAGGGCACAAGGGGGGCTTTGGGTCGTGGTCAAGTCCTTGCTTTTTGGTCTGGGCACTGTTCCGTTTGAGGAGAGCCACAGAGTTGTACCCACACTTTAATTTTGCACACTTTGGCCTACATGTTATATTTTGATGAAAGCATAAAAATGTGAACATGTGCTCATTTAAAATTTGTAACTAGACCTCTCATTCTTCAGCCAATACCTGGTTTTTAGTTCTTGAAGCATTTTTGGATTAGGGCATCTGGTAATCTGGGCCACAGTCTGAAGCCACTGTCCCCTGGGCTGCAGGTGGTTCCTCTTGCTCCGTGGCCTCCTTGGCCTTTACTAAGCTGTAAGACGTTCCAGGAGGCCAGATCACAGGCTGCTGGAGAGGCTCTGCACTCACTACCCTCCCAGGCTGTAGACAGCTCCCCTCCAGCCTTCCCTAAGCATTCCTGCCTTCTCCAGCCAGGTGGCCTCAGCAGTTATGGCCATACCATCCTTAACATTTACTATGTGTGTCTCAGAAGGTTCCACATGCATGTCTTGTCCTTTATGGGACTTGATGCTGGGCCCTCCATCGCCTATGTATTTACAACCCTCTAGTACCTGATACAGAGCCCGGTGGAGGAGGCCTTCAGGAGACAGGCTCTCCCTGGATGTCACCTTGAAGTTCTCTTTCCTACAGGGTCACTGCCTGGGTACCAGTGTGCTTAGGGTGACTTTTTCACTTATGAGCTGGTAACACTAAGCCTGTTTGTCCCCTCCTACAGCTCTGCTTTGTTTGTAAAACCAGGACAGCAATCCTGGCATCACAGAGCCATGGTGAGACTCAGATGGCTAAGGTGGAAGTGTTGTCCCTCTGCTCTTGGATGAATTCTCAGTCCTTACCTGTTATGGCATCAATAACAGTAGGCCTTGGAAAGAAGTGAGGAGCCCCTTCATTCCTCAACAGCACCCCAAATAATCCACAGTGTGAAAAAGTTCAAAGAAACACTAGCAATTTATTGATTTCCAAATTTCAAACACACACTCTTCACACACACACACACACACATACACATGCACACACACACACACACACACACACACACACGCACATATGTGGTGTATCATACAGGGAAACTGAGCTTGGCCTACACAAGATCCTATAAAAACATGAATCAAGGGAAATGATGGGCTAGAGGGAACCTCTCAGATATCCCACAGCATCCCGGGCTTTCTCCCTCCCTATCCCACAGCCCCATCATCCATCTCCCAGCCAGCAAAGAACATCTGCCTTTGGGGTCCCCAGAGAACTTGGGGATGGGGCGCTACTGCAGAAGCCACTGGTAGTCAGTGACTGGGTAAGTCTTAATCACAGGAGGCCCCAGACTCAAGGTGGGCATGGGACCGGTGTCCTTCCTCATTTGCCCCCAAATGGCAATTTCTTGTTTTGGGTGTTGACCCTCATAGTATGAGGCAATGTGGATTTAAGATACTAAGATGTGCATCAGATACACAAAGCCTAGCGAGGTCCTTTCTCTGAAAGGTGCATCCCCTTCTCCTTCTTGTTCTTCCCAACTGATAGGCATGATCAGAGGCCCGGATGACCAGTCCCCCTGGCCAGCTTGAAAGGGCATGAGAGAGGTTGCCACAGTCAGGACTGGCCTAACTGTCCATGTCAGGCCCCTGAGCTTGGACTGGCTGCCTCATTCCCAAAGTAGAGGGAGTGGCCCACCTGACTCTTCATTCTGGGGCAAAGGAAACTAAACCAAGTGGTGGCAGGAAGTCGGGACCATGCTGCAGGGTAGGGCACCTCCCTGGGCTTCTAAGAGATTCATGTGTAGCAATTTATTACCCTCTTTCCCTGGCTGGACTGCAGTTCTCTCTGACTGGAGGATCCTAAAGCCAAGGACTCTGTGTCATTCCTCCCCTTACCTGCTGGACAGCATAAGCCATGTGAGGACAGGGGCAAGGACTGTTTTGTTCTCCAATATATTCCAGGTGCTTACAACCCTCTGCCTGGCACAGAGGGGCTGCTCCATAAATGTTTTTAAGAAACAGATCATTCTGGGTCCTGAGGAATGGCAGAGAGATTTCTTGAAACCTACTTTTGGGATGGGCTGGTGGAACAGGCTCCCAGGGGGTCCCTGGGAAGGAGAGCCAGGAGCAGGCCTTCCAGCATGAGTCAAACAAGGGAGGGTGTTACAGACCCACGGAGCCAAAGCATCCCTGGTTAGATGTCGTGGGACACCTCTCACAGGACAAAGTTCTTGCAGGTATGGCTTCTCCCATCTTCAGCAACTGAGTCTCTTAAAAGGCCATCCCGATTCCAGAAAGAAGTGTCTAAGATCTGATGGCTGAGGTGAGAAGTGGGGTTAGACTACGGGTAGTGTAGACAGGGAGAAGATTTGGAAGGATGAGAATTCTGTGTCCCTGTACAGGAAGGCACAGTCCTTGCAGATAACACCTGAGCACCAACCATGCCAGCGCAGGAGGCACAGGCTGAAATAAGGAAGCATGGGGAGTGCTCAGCTCTGCTCATCTTGCAAGGCTATGCTAAGGGCTGCTGCCAGACACGCATTGGCTCCATGGGTCTGTAACACCCTCCCTCGTCATGAGGTCCTCTGGAGGCCTTCTGCTGTTGACCATCTGAAAAGCACAATCTGTGGCTTTAGGGGTTTCTGGTGTGTGTGTGGGTCTTATGACATCTGCTGTGGGTTTCACAAAAGACAGAATGGAGACAGGGTGCCTGGGGTTCAGGGAAAAAGGGTGGGAATGGCCCGTGGCTGCAATGGAAGCTTGTTGGTGCGCTGGTGGGGACATTTCCCCTTCCTGACCTATCTGAATTCTTTTCCTCCAGTCCTCTGGGACACTAGACTCTCCCTCACTTGACTCTTCGCAGGTTTGGTGGGAAGTATCTTCCTGGTAATTCCCAACTTGCCTTTCCCATTCCTTTGGAAGCTGAGGTAAGAAGATGCCCGGCCCCAGTCCCTGCCTATTCCCCTCTCCACAGAAAAGATGAGATCAGACAGTAACTTCCTCAACAGCCTTTGGCTCCAAGCACCATTTTTGTCTTTTTTCTCCTGCAACAAGATCACAAGCTTCCTGAAAGCAGAACTTGCAGGCTGAAGCTGCTCTTGGGTGTGTAGCCCTGGAGGACCACTAACCCCATCTCTCTGGCGTCTGCTCCCCAGTGTCCTTGCACAGCTAAGCAAGTGAGAGTGTCCTGCTGCCTCCAGTGCCCCACACTGTGACCAACTGGTGCCCAGGCCTCTGGGAAGGGCAGCACTGTCAGACACATGAGATTTTCCCATGAGGTACACGGAACCTCAGTAATCCAGCCAACCTCTTGGCCTGCAGCAGCCTCTTAAAGGGGAGGTCAGCCACAGCTGCACCACTGGGAGATGGTGGCAGGAAGGCCGCAGGGCTCTTCTGTGTACTGACACTGGTGAGCCCCCACCCTGGCACAACCCACTCCAAGATCTACGGGCAGCTAACCAAAAAGCACATGTCCCCCTTGCCTATAAGGGAAGAGACACACAGAGTCCTCTACACTACCTTATGACCTGCAATGAAACAGCACACCTACCTAGCTTTTTGCAGCTCATGGTAATGCTGTCAGGCACTCAAGCACACACATGCATGCATATGCACATGACCACACACTCACATTATACACACACACATATATATATATCTCATTTCTCAGAGTAGGAAGTATTGACATCAGATGTAAGCCCCTTTAACTCAAGAAAGCCCCCCCCAACCTCCCCAACCCCCATTGCCTACCAATTCCCCCAAGGAAAAAAAAGAATCTAAAAATATTTCCAGCCTCCACAGTTTCTAGGTTTTCTCTCAGATGCATCTGCACTTTTCCAAATACTGCACAAGATGGACAGAAAAAGCCATACAGCGAGGCCTGAGGTCTTCTCAACTGGGTCATAGCCTTCTGGAAAAAAAAGGCAATCCTTAAGTTAGCATGGAGTAAGATGGTTCTGTACCAGTAAATCCAAACATACTGCCACCCGCTGCCACTAGCATCTGCCCTAGGGTGTGCTCTGGCCTGAGAATGGCTTTAGGGCCATCCTTGGCAAGTTCCTGTCAGTTCAGGAGCATACTGATTGGCTGGTTGGCTGTGACCTGCTGTTCCCAGGACCCCCTGCTCCGCTGCTCAGTACTAAGGATCATGTGCTCATTAGAAATCTGCAATCCATTTTCTCCCCTTTGCTGCCCTCATGTTGCTGAACATCATCTATCTGGTGAGGTGTGTTCCAACACGTTTGTCCCAACATGGTTTTGGCCCTCTCTCCCCACCAGGACCCTCCTTTGGATTCAGGGCTAGGTAGTTGCCAGCACATGCCTTGGTTGGAGAGGTGAGAAGGCCTCAGCCTTGTTCCTGTGACTTGCAGATGGCTCCACATGGTGGCTACCTCTAGGCTCCTCCCTAGGCTTGCTGGCATCTGGTTTGAGTATCTAGCTGTGGTGCTCAGCTTACCTGCAGCAGGAGCACTTTGGATGCTTATTTATTTATTTATTTATTTAATTTTTGGTTTTTTTCTGGTACTGGGAATTGGACTCATGACCTTGCGCTTGCCGGGCAGCAAGGACTACACATCTGGTCCCAGCCCCCTTGGATGCTTATTTAAAAATACATTTTCCTGGACCCTACTCTGGGGCTACTGAGTCAGAACTACCGGGGCTGGGACCAGATGTGTGCATTTTAGCCAGTGCCCCAGGAGACTTTAATGGATGCTAAGGCTCACAAACCTTTGACAAAGTATTAGTTCTGAGTTTTGGTCCCTTACATCTCAGCTGGAAATAAGCTTGTCCACACTAGGTATGTGCAGAGTCTGGAAAATGCATTTTAAAAAGGATAAGAAAGTGAGCTGTGGATGACTATTGCATAATTCCAGTTATACATAGTCTGTCCTGGGTTGTACAGTGGGCACCTTACACACTTGTACCTAGAAGTTGCACCCAGGTCCTCTGGCACTTCTGGCGCTACCAGGACATTTTACATCTCTGATGTCCTGTGGTGGATAGCCCATGCCCTCAGCCCAAGTCAACACAGCTGTCTTCAAAATCTTCCTGTCAGATGAAGCCAGGCTGTCTGGCAGGCAGGGTAGGGGTCTGTGTTCCTGGGGAACACAGGCCTAGCCCCAGTCTCTGATGCCGGCTGAAACTGCAGCAGTGGTGCTAGAAGTGTCCCTTGCCCTGGGATGGGCCGATTCTTACCTGCAAGCCGAGCTTGCTTGAACAGTCTCTTCTTAGAATCTGGAGGTAAAGTTTCTGAGGCTGTTGGCCCCAGCTAGAGAGCCCAGCATGTTCCTATCGAAACCTTGCTGCAAGGAGAGAAACAGGTACTGTGTGACACATCCTAGGACAAAGCAGTGTGGGGCTCCTCAGGGGTCAGAAACGCCCTTCTGGAGGAGCATCCTCAGCTCACAGGCTCTGCACCTAGGTGTGATCTGAGCATTATGTGTGTAGGTTGTGGCTAAAACTGGCCTAATTGACTGTGTAACCAAATGCTATGCTCCTAATACCCAAGAGTGAGGGAATGTGTTTGGCCCCTCACCAGCTCATGCTCACATCTGCAGAAACCCAAGTCAGGGCGTGAGATTTCAGGCTGGTACTCATGACTCTACACAGCAACGACCCAAATCAGATTACAAGACCTTGACAGTTTTTCTTTTCCTGACTTGTTTTTCCTTCTCTGACTATCCTTGTTTTCCCTTCTCTGACTGTCTTTGTTTTTCTTTCTTTTGTTTCTTAAAATCCAACAAGAGCTGCTGGGCAGGGAGGACAGGCTCAGTGCTTCTCAAAGTCGGGGCAGCTCCCATCAGCAGGCGCTCCCTGCCCTCAGCCCAGCCCGAGCCCCAGCTCCTGCTGGGGGCAGATCGAGGCTTAAGGCTCGATCTTGTTCTTTCTCTAGTACAGAGCAGGTGCTCAGTACAGGCTCCAGAGGGAATGAGGATGGCACAATGCTGGAGGAGCCACTGGCTGGGGAGCCGTTGAGCAGAGGCTCCTGGTCCAGGTCTGATTTGTATCTCAGGCCCCCGGGAACAGGAGAGGAGATGACACAGGGAGCGCACAACAGCAGCCAGAGCCCCAGCCAGAGCCCCAGTCTGCTGTGCTTGGGCATGTAGTGCATGATGTCGTTTTTCCCTTGTAGAGGTGCTTGCTTATTCCTGTTCAGCTTGGCTGAATTGTGTGGAAAGAACACGCGAGTGAAAGGTTCTGGATCCTAGCCTCCTCGTGCTCTGACTTGCTGAATCCAGACAAACTCCTTGGACCTTGAGTCTCTATGCAGCAAAATGGGCATAAGCCATGTGGCCTGTCTTAACCGCCCTTGTGACAACCTGATGAATGATGGATATGAATGCACGTCAGGAACAGAAGCCCTGATCTGGATCCTGTCCAGGCTGTTGTCAAGCATAGCTGGAGGGAGGAGTGGAGACGGATGGGCACCCTGGTTCCCAAAGGCACCATATGGAGGGAATTCTCATGGAGAGCGCAGTGTCTTGCATGTCATAGCCAGGAGTGGGGAGCTGAGTCCTTGGCAGTACCCACAGACAGCTCAAAAAAGTGCTCACCCTTCCCCTGGGTCTACGTGGCAGCTGCACTTGCCTAAGCCCACCCTCCTGGAGGTATTTTCAAAAGAGAACTCCGGATTGTCAAGTGCAGAGTAAGGGCCACAGTTTAAATGCAGATTTCCCAGCCTCCAACCTCTTTGGCCTGCAACTGAAGGGGTTTTGTAATCCAGTCCAAGCCTGCTTTCCCAGACCAAGTGCACATCTACCCCCTGCCAAATGACCTGTGTGCTCTTTGTTCCCCTTGCTTTGTCACCCCGCTCCAGGCCACTGACACACTTCCTCTGCCTTTCACACAGTGGTAACCCTGTAGCTCCCAGAGCCTGGGGATTTGGGCAGGGTGTTGATCACATGTTTTGCTTCTCAGACCCTCCTTGTGGGGGAGTCTCCCCTGGGTTGGTGGGGACCAATCTGCCTCTCCCATCTCGGTCCCCTGGGACTTCAGTAGGGGGCAAGTGGAGGGAGAGCTCATCAGAAGGGGTCATGGCAGGGGCTCTTACCTGTCTGAGGACACCCTGCAGCTCCTTGTTGGACCACATGTCAGACAGGAGGAGCCGGGCAGCCTCTGCAGCTTTGGGTGAGGCGCTGGGCAGGTGGGAAGTGTGATTGTGAGAGGAGACTCCTCCAGGAGGTGAGAGAACACCCCGGCCTCCCTCCATCCTTGGCATATGTGGGATGCACGACAGAGGAGCACACCCACCCCTGCCCACCTAGAGACACCCTAGGGGCCATGAGCTGGTCCTTCAACCCTTCTGTTGGGAGATGGAGCCCTATGGAGCAGCAAAGTTCCCATGCAGCTGGGTCTGCTGCCCCATGTCTCCTCCTGACCCTCTGAGGATCCAGTGCCCCTGCATGTCCCCCAGCCAAGAAGTGCACTGCCTCTGCCCCTCTGTGCCGCCCTGTAGTCTGGAGACTGCGCCTGTAGTCTCCAAGCCGCCCTCCCCCAGCTCTCTTGGCTTCTGGATCTTCTCTCCCATCAGAGGCCACATCCCTGCCCCTCCTTGTACTATATGTTTTCTCTCTCCACCTTAGAGCCCCCTGAGCAGGGAGGAGGACTATGGCAAGGAAGGCCGACAGGGGGCGCTGTCCATCCCCACCCACCTGCCACGGCACAGGTTGATGACATTGTTGAGCATGCTGCTGGAGAAGTACTGCTTGGCCATCTGCGGCTGCGAGGTCATCAGGTTCCTCACAGTGTAGCAGGCCGAGGACAAGATATCTTCGGAGTTGCTTGTGTTGCCAGTGTGGCTGGTGAGGAGCCTGGTCACCTCTGGGAATACTTGATTCCCTGGGAAAGGAAGGAGTTGGCACCGGCTCAGGATTGCCAAGGGAAGGAGGGGCTGAGGGGTTCCCTCCAAGGCCACAGTCCTAGGCTGCCCTGGGTCAGGCTCTAAGCAAGGTGACCCTGCAGGGTTCTACGCCAGTTCCAATCCAGAGGAGACCTCGGGAGATCTGCTGCCCCACCTCGGTTGTCTCCCATCTCCTGGGCCGGCTTCCCTTCTGAATGCTCACCCTGGAGAATGGTTCAAGGGTGACCTGCCAGCAGGCTCTGGAACACGAGCAGCCTGCATATCCTATCTGGAGCGGGGAGGGGTAGGCGCTCTTACCCATTACTCTGTGCAGCACAGGATGGCGGGACATGTTGCTCAGGAGGGAGGCCCCGGACCGCACCACATCTGAGTTGCCAGATTGCAGGAGGCGGGCAATCTGTGGCAAGCCCTTTTCCTTCAGCCCAATCAGCTGGCTCATGCCACTGGACATCTACGAGAAAAGGTCCGGGAGGCGCTGGCTTGTGGCTTCCCAAGCACCAGGCAGGCAGAAAGCAACAGGCAGTCCCAAGCCCAGAAGCCAGGACCTTTACTCCTTCACACTGGAAGCATGCAGAGACACAGAAATTGCTCATACCTGGGTGCCTAAAGAACCCAAGCTCACATGTCCCCTCCTGCCCTTGCTCCCGCCCGCTGGATGACAGCCTGCAGCCCTGCTGCAGAATCTCCCCCGCACAGAATCTCATTCTCTCACTCGTGGTGACCTAGAGTCAGCTTCTAAGTGTCCACACTTTATCCAGCTGTTTCAGCTCTGCCTCCCTCACATATCCTTCCTAGCTCCCAGGGAACCCCTTAGCCCCTCTTTCTCTGGCCAGGAGCATTTGTCAGTTAAAGAAGGACTAGGGCTGGGGTATAGCTCAGGGGTAGAGCACTTGCCTAGAGCACTTGCCTAGCAGCCTGAGTTCTGAACCCAGCACAGCAAAAACAAAACAAAACAAAACAAAACAAAACAAAAAAACCAAACCTGTTATCTTCCAATTTCCCTACCTGTGCTGAAATTCAAATCATATTTGTTGTAGGCTTGTCTGAGAAAAAGATGGATCAGACATAGTCTGGGTCTTTATGGGAGTACACTTGGGGTCCCCTGGAGGTAGCCCAGCTCATCCAGGCCTCTCAGCAACAAGGTAACTTGCTGGGGCCTGGGCTAGGCCAGTTTGGGGTCATGGAGACTCCTGTCTCTTCCCTCACAGGCAAGTTTCCTTTACCCTTAGGTCACCAGTGTCCACTGCTGCGCAAATCCCTTTCATCCTAAGTAAAGCCAGGGGACAGTTAGTGACCTCCAGGCCTTCTCTGGCCCCACTCTATATCATCATGACCCCAAAGCTGTATTTGGGTTTGAAACCTGTTCTAATTCTGTCACCTCTTCCTCTGAACCTGCTCATGTTCCAAATTATTTTTCTACTCTGTCAGTTCACTAAATGGAGGCTCTTGCCAAACACACTCTCTGCTGCAGATAGTCAGGAGGTCAACATTGGGTCAGGATCCATGAGGTGAACAGGTTGCTGGGCCCCACCCCGGAGCTCCCCGAGAGCAGAGGCATCTCCCCCATCACCTCCTCCATGCCCAGCCCAGGGCCTCCAATGCTCATTATCTGCAGCATGAAGCTCACAGCCTGCATGTGTTTGACAGGGACAGGCTGGTGGGAAAATCAGGGAACCAAGCCTGGAGTGTGGGGAGCAGTAGGTAGGAGGGTGCTCCTCACCAGCCCCTTGCTAGCTGTCAGGTTCTGCAGGGCACCCGCACAGGCCTCCAGGGTGGCATCCTTCTTGCTCTTGCCCATGAGATTCAGGTAGGTGCGGATGGCATCTGAGTGGTACAGCCAGCTGCTGCCCCTGGGGTTGGGCTCTTCCTCCGGAAGGGGACACTCATAGTTGTTGTTCTGAGGACAGAGAGCAGGTCAGAGGACACAAGCCAAGCATTCTTTCCCTCCCTGAACTTCAGGGTGGTGGTGACTGATGAGAGGAACTGAGAAAGTGCTTGTAGAGGCAGGGGTCCTGGGGACAGTCCCTGCACGCCTTCCCTCTGTGGACTCCAGCACTCCACAGAGAGGTCCTCAACTGTCTGGGGGTGGGGGTGGGGGAAAGGTGGCATTCTTGGTACCTAGGGAAATGTGCTCCAGGGTAGCCTCAGCCCAGACTTCCGGCTGTGTGAGGCCACTCTGGGGACTCATAGCAAGATGCTTTCTATCTTTTGGGGTCCCAACGTGGGTTTGACCTGCTCTAGGCCTACAGGGATGGTCTGGGCCTGGCTTCCAGCTATGCCTAGTACAGAAAGCTGACCCTCCTTCCCCTGAACCCTCTTTGGGGGGCTCTGGAGGTGGTGCCTGAGAAAGGTATGAGTTCTGGTTGTCCCCTGACCTTAGGGGTCAGGGAGAAGATGAGAGACTGAAGCCTGGGGGTGAGGGGTTGGAGCTTCGCCCTTGGAGTAGTCTGGGCTCCTCCAGTGCTAGAAGACAGATCCCCTCATTGTGCAAGATGGAGGGCTCTCTCCCAGCTCTGGGAGAGCAGCACCTCAAAGCTGAGGCTTTAGCAGGGGCTTGCTCCCTAGGGCTGCTTTCAGACCCTACGAGAGCTAGAGAAAGGGTGGGCAGGGCAGCGCACATGGGAATGGCCCTGGCTCTGCAGAGGGACAGTGCTCACCATCATCTTGTCACTCTTGTTGCTGAAGCAACCGGTGGAGGACTTCTCCATGTAGGCATTGCGGGCGTTGTACTCCAGCTGGCGGTAGCGAGTGGGCACCTCAGCGTCCAGGCGATAGGAGAGGTTGTGCAGGATGCACATGCAGTTCTCCACAGACTGTGAGTAAGAGGGAGCAGGCACGTGAGCCACTGCAGGCCTGCGGCGGGCTTCTGGCTTGCCACCTCCCTGACTGACCAAGCAGCATCCAGAGAGATGTACAGATGTCCGCTGCACCCTCAGTCTGCAAGGATCTCCCAGGGACTCCGCTGGGACCTGGATTTGAATCCTGCCTCTATCATTTCCCGGCTACTTGAACCTGAGTGACCTGTTTCACCTTCGTGGACCTCAGTTTCCTCAGTTGTAAAATGAGGCTGTAATCACTTCAGTGGAAGATTGCAGTGTCCCCATTTATCCTTGGGATCCATATCCACGAATTGAAATTATTTTTTAAAAAGGTACATGTGTATTGAACAAGTGCCAATTTTTTTCTTGTCATTATTCCCTAAATACTACAACCATTTACATAGTATTGACATCGTGTCCTCATAATTATAGGTGCTATAAGTAATCTTTTTGCTTATGCGTGATGATAGGATATGTGTAGGTTATATGCAAATCCTCCACCACTTTATAGAAGGGATTTGAACATCCATGGATTTGGGTAGTCACTGGCACCTTGGAATCATCCCCTGAAGTTCCCAGGGGATAGCTGTGTGTGGAGAGTACCAATCATGGGGCCTTTTGCAGGTCACGACAGGCAGTGGTGACAGTTTGTCCTGCATGGATGACGTGTGCTGACGGGATGACGACTGTGGCACTGAAGCACGCATCTTCCCTCCTGAACCACCTCCTGGAGGAGCAGCCCCTGTCCTGTAGGTGCCAAAGCCCCCTCCTTCCCACTGCCCTTCCTGCTTCCTTTTTCCATGGCTGCTCTTCAACCTCCAGTGTCACAGTGCTATGTGCATACCAGCAGGGAGCCCATACCTTGTCATCTGCCCTCAGTGCAACCCAGGCTAGGGTGAGCAGGTTTACTCTCCTAGCCATGCTTGGTCCCTGCAGGGGTCTGAGGAAATCTGGCTTCCAGGGTAGGGTCACACAGGTGTAGAAAATGTTGCATGCAGAACAGAAAAGAGCTTGGCCCACCGGAACCAGGCTATCCTCGGGGGCCCTGCTGTCACTTCCAGGAGAGGGAAGAGGAGATAAAATCTCTCCTCTTGGGAATGGTGCTCAGGACTCAAGTGTGATAAGACTCCTCCTGTCCCCTGGGGATGGCTGGACCTCCCTGGGGCCCGCTGTCCTGCTGTGGTGTAGGTTACCCAGCCTTCAGCTTATCTTCCTTGCATGACTTGTCCCTTCTGTCTGTGCTGGAAGGAGTGGCTGCCAATGGCTTTTTTGGGGGCAGTGGGAGGGGAGCTGTGGTAGGAGTATCACTTCAGAAAGGACATGAAGGCCCTGGCATACACTGGGAGTACCAGGAGCAGTGCAGCCCCCGAGTCTGCTCCTGTGTGCTGTGCCCTGCCTCCAACCTCTCTTGCTGCCCTAGATTCTATCTGTTTGGACACTGGGGCAGGCCTCAAAGCCACCCGGAGAATGAACTCTTGACTCTTGGGATCTGGGAGACAGGAATGTTAAGACCTGGAGTCTGAGAATCTGGCCTCACTGATTTAAATGGTGGATCTGGGCATTGCAACTCTGGACACAGAGGGTGAGGTGTCACCAGAAGCTGAGCTCTCACCTTGTCATCGCAGCGGCTGGCCGCCACGCAGTTCTGGACATAGGCCATGAGGGAGTCGATGAGCCCTGTGTAGTTCCGCATGGTCTGGCGGCCGGCATCAGCAGAACTCAGGTTCCTGAGGACCGAACAGGGGGAGGAGGAAGTGGACAATGGGGCAAGGAGAGCACAGAGGGGAGGGAGAGTAGAGTGTTGGGGGACATGCAGGACATGGGGGCATGTGGGAGAGGAGCAGGTAGACTGGACAGGCAAAGAGGCTGGAGGTTGTGGTAGGAGGAGGCAAGAAGGAGTAAAACGAAGGGAAAAAAAGGAAGTAGTCCTCAGACCCTTGGCTCTCAACGGTTCCACTGTAAACTGTAGGTGGCAGGTCCCCATACCCTAGATGCCCACCACATCTAGTGGGTGTGGCAGGACCAAAACTGGAAGCTCCTGCAGGCTAAGCCTCTTCTTGTGGGGTAGGAAGAATCTCTGCAGGGTGCCGTATGGGGAATAAAATAAAATAAGGGCTGATATAGCTAGGGGATAGGGTGCTTGCCTGGTGTGCACAAGGGCAAGCACTTCCCCAAGCAAACTGTGTTCTGCCACAGCACTAGCTCATACCCATGCAATGTGGGTCCTTCCGCCTGGTGGTGGTGGTGGTGGTGTGTGTGTGTGTGTGTGTGTGTGTGTGTGTGTGTGTTTGGTGTTGTCCATTGTTGCTTCCAGCAGCCCTGCAGTCCCATAAAATCCTTAATTAACTGGCTTTTCATCTCCCGGTCTTTCTGCTCCCTGGAGGCTGCTGCTGGAGGCTTGTGGGAGAAACACAAGTTGAGACACGGAAGCTCATGCCAGCTGCACCCACCACTCTGGGGGTTCTTAGGAGTTGGAGAAGACAAACCCCACTGGAGCAATGTGTGATCCTAAGGGGGATCTTGCTCCATGGTCCCACACTCCACACGGGGGTTACCCCTCAGCCTGGAAATCTCTACTCTGAAAAGAAGCACAGCCAGATCCTTCCTCCAGCAGCCCCACAGGGGCTTTGCCACGCCCTGGCGTGGAACCCAAACAACTCTGGGCAAAGCAGCAGCATCTTCACGCCAATGCACAAAGCAAACGGGTATAGCACCACAGTGGGAAAGTGACTCATAAGCAGCCAATCAGTAGACTTCTGTCTAAAAGAATGTTCTTCGAGATAGTACAAGAAATGGATTTTTCCAGGGGTGGAGGGGGGTGGATTGTTGAACCAGCTGAATGTTGAATGTTCAGATCCAGGCATTTTCACTCTTCAATTCCATATTATGTCTGCTACACTCAATTATGTTAAGGAAGGTGATGGGGTCTTGAGCCTCACCCAGACCTATGGATATTAGTGAGCCCTGGCTGGCCCTTGTCTTGGAGCCTGCCCCCTCCCCCCCAGAGCCAGGGCAGGCTGGATGCTATGTTCTCTGCCCTGGCCAGATGTTGCCAGAGATGGGACTGCCTGGGGAAGGGTTCTGGGCTGGGGCAGAAAGACTGTCTGTGCCCCTCCTCTCACCTCAAGCAGCCTGTGGCATTGAAGAAGACCTCAGGGTCCACTGTGTCCCTGGACATATTGCTGTTGCCATCACACCAGCCCGAGAAGGGAATGATGACCCGGTCGGCCAGAACAGGCAGGGCATCGGCCACCAGCTCTTCCTTGAGCTCATCAGTGGAAGACAGGTTCCAGAGCAGCCCTGAAGGACAGAGACAGTCAAATCAGCACCTGCAGGCTCAGAGGAACCCAGGGGCCACGGTCTCCTGCCTCCAGCCTGGGCTCTAGCAGATGGATCCTCCCTGGTGGCCTTGAACCTAATTTCTGACTCTTTCATGAACACATTCTCAATACCTCACTGGACTGAGGGGCCCTGGAGGATAGGGAGCATCTGGAGTTCTCTGCTGAGGTCAAAATGAAGCACATGGATATATTCGATTGATTAGTGGCATTGATATTTATTTATTATTGACACACTGGTGATTGAACCCAGGGCCTTGTGCACACCAGGCAAGCACCCTATCCCCTAGCTATATCAGCCCTTATTTTATTTTATTTTTGAGGTGAGGTCTTGCTAAGTTGCCCAGGTGGATCTTGAACTTGAGAGCCTCCTGCTTCAGTCTCCTAAGTACCTGGGATAATAGGTGTATACCGTCAGTTCCAACTGATCAGTGGTTTTAAATATAAATATTAGCACCTGGGACCTATGTTCTCTGTTTTCCATCTGAACATCTTTTCAGAAGTCCTTAGCAACTGTTATTCTGCACATGGTCTTGTCATCCTGGTGCAATTCGAGGTCTTGACAGTGAAATCTTTTCTCTCTGATGCTTCCTCTAAAGAGCTTTGAGTGTCCTTGGCACACAGGTGGGTGCTAAAGATTGTAAACGCTGCCCCCAACAGCTTTGCTCTCTCCTCAGGACCTGCAAGTCCCAGGGTCTGCTGCATAGAGGTCCTGCCTGGATTCCAATCTTCCTCTCCTTGCCTTTTGCCCTTAAAAAGACCAGAACCTACCTCTTGTGGGTGTGTGTAGGGGGGTGACACCAACCTCTGGTCACCATCTACTGCAAGTTGACAAGCAGTGCAAGGCAAGGGTGCTCCTGGCCTAGTATCAAAGAGCTCTGCCCCTTGGGTGGTTTTTCCAGAAATGAGTTAGGTTGCCATAGCTAAAATCATGAGCACCTACTATGGGAAAATGTAATAATCTGCCTAAGGCTAGTGGTATCCGGCTCTTAGGAGAGTAGCCCAGATTAAATGTGCACAGGTGTGACTTGGCCAGGGCCCAGAGAGACTGGCCTGCATCCCAGCTAAAGGCCATAGCCAGCAGCCTTGCACAGCCGCACTGTGGCTCTCCATGCTGGGCCCCCTACCAGTCAGTTGTTTCTGGATCTCAGTGCTCCCGGTTCTCCGCAGGAGGTTGACGGCCTCACGGATCCCATTCTGCCTTCGGGTCTCCAGCTTGTTGGCACTGCTCCGGAACACCAGGTTGCGCAGGGCCCCTGCGGCAGCCTGCTGGACGTTCTGGTTGGGGCTGCGGAGGAGGTCCACCAGCTTGCAGATGCCTCCCAACTGGTAGACCTGCAGGAAGAGTTGCCACATTGCCCGGCTGGTGGGGGGTCGGGTGGGGAGGCTGAACCAATTATTATCTGCTCAAAGCAGATAATATTTTCTCAGGCCAAAAAATTACTTTCAGTTTAGAAACATCCAAGAAAATCAAAATAGATTAATAGCATGAGGTAAAGGTAACTAACCCAGCCCAGAAGCCAAAAAGACCTGCATTTAGGTCCTAGGCCTTTTGCCTTGCAGCAGAGTGACACCTAGCAAGGCACTCCTCTTTCCTGAGCCCTAGTTTCCTCCTCTGGAGTATGGCAGTGAGGGCTCATGAACAAATGTGTACATGTGTACCTTAGAAGCCTCAGGCAGAGCTCAGACACGAGAGGGATGTTCCCATGGAAACTCTATTTCCTACCAGAAACTTCCATGCTAACTAACCCTGGTTGCTAGGAAACCCACTTATGGCACAACATCTTGGACTGGACTGCTGAACCTGTGGGTGTCCCACCTGCCCACCCCACGTGGGGAAGCATGTGCTACTATAAGATGGGGAAGAGAGGCAGAAAGGTCGGGGGGAGGGAGCTGAGAGGTGGGGGTAGGGGACAGTAGTGTTCTTTATCAGAATTTCAGTAGCTCTCACTGAAAGTTCTCGTCTGTGACCAGCGGGTGGAAATGTACCTCCCTAATGTCCACCCAATAGAGGGCTTTGCTTTGCACATTAAGATGCCAGCTCTGACCCTGGGCAATGCCAGCTGTACTCCTTATCACTGGCAGCTGGAAACAGCGAGAAGGAGGCACCTAAAAGTGCCCCCACTCATCTCCAGATGCAGGGTCAGGCTGCCGAGTCCAGGCCCTGCCCATGTCTCCTGGGAGGAAGGTGTGGGGTCAGCTACCTGTTGCTTGGCAGATTCGTCCTGGAAGCAGGTGTGCTGGATGTAATAGGCCCCGATAGCTTGGTACTTCTCATCCTGGGAGCTCAGGTACTGCACGGCCTTGGGGATAGTCAGTCCACTGCACTCGATGTCCTCACTGCAGATCCTGTGAGGAACAGGCAGTAAGGGTGTGTCACAGGGAAGCAGAGTATCCCGGTGAGCAGGTTCAGAATCCTTCTTGCACACCTGAGCTGACACAGACTCATCTGCCCTCCAGAGGATCAAAACAAGGCAGCCTGGCTCACTTGGAGAAAGCCCTTGGGAACAGCTCCCCTCAAGAAGGCACAGGTTCACACATAGGATATCCTCCTCAAGGGATATTGGCTGTAATGAGGCTTAGCCATGGGTTATGTTAAGGTCTGAGCAGGCCAGTTGTCTCTACACTGCAAAATACCACCCAGTTCCCTGAAGGGAAGCCCTGAACCTAGCCTGCAATCTCTCATGTTTGTGCTGGTATTGGGAAAATGGAAGAGAATGGCTGAGTCTATCTATTCTATCAGTCCATCCATCCATCCATCCATCCATCCATCCATCCATCCATCCATCCAACAATCCATCCATCTACCCATCCATCCATCCATCCATCCACCCACCCACCAACCCATCTCCAGGTCCCACTGGTTCTTGTTATACAAAATTTCTCACATCTACCCCTCTTCCAAGTCACCACTTTCCTCTGGATCAGGATCACTCCTTTGGAGGGTGGCGGCAAGAGACCTCTACAGCTCTTTCTTTTTCCTCTAAGCTCCCCTATCTAACATGTTACAAATTTAACCAGAGAAATCATCCTAAAACCCAGTCCTCTGTATTGTTCTCCAGCTCAGAAACTATCACCAGCTCCTGCATACTGCAGGTTCAAGTTCAAACTGCTTCAACTGAAATCCAAGGGCATACATTAGGTTGGACCATAGGAAGAGTCTGATAGCTCACATTTTTTTGAGCCACAAAACCAGAAATTTCATGCTTTGACCTAATAGTCTGGCTCCACTGTGTCATCTTGCACACTCCTCAACCCCTGCCAGGAGTCCACTGCAGTAAGACCATCAGGTCTCGGGCCTGCCCCAGGATACCGGAGCCTCATGTCTGTGAAGACTTCCAGGGAATGGGCCTCTCTCTAGGAGCCTCTCCAGCTTCCACAGCATGGAGTGACAGGCGACCTTTCCATCTGAGTGAGTACTGCTTCCCAACAGAGATAGCGAGGTTTCTGAGGGCAGGGACAGATCCTCTGTGGCACTTAGCTCTAACCCTGTGGACCCCCTTCAGCGTTTATGCAGGGATCCCTCTCCCCATTTTCCCATCAATAAATAGTCATGATTTTAGCTAGGGCGACCCAACCTTGTTTCTGGAAAAACCTTCCAAGAGGCAGAGCTCTCTGGTACTAGGTTAGGTTAGGAGCACCCTTGCCCTGTTTGAATCAGTGAAATGTCACCTCTAAATGGCTTGTCACTCATCCCCTCTGTAGCTCACCTAGGTCTTCCATTCACGGCCTCCAGGTGGAGCCAAACGCTGCCCTGGTCAGTCTATGAAGGTCAGAGTTTTTAACCCTTTCCAAATGATCCTAAATAGAACTCATGGCCTTTAAGTAGAAGGTGACTAGCTTTACAGTGAGGTTCTCTTTAATTTCAGAATAGTGTGATATCAGTAGGAAAGAGCACAGGGTGTGGAGTCAGTTTTGTGGCCTTGTGTAAGCTAGTTAACATCTCCGCCTGGTTCCCTCCTCAAGAATACTAACAGCTACCTGGAAGGAGTTGTGATACTCAAAAACTGCAAAGCTCCTAGGGCTCCGTGAAGAATAATTCATGGCTGTGTTCCTTAAGCTCATCAGGGTCTGGCATGTAGTAAATGCCCAGTAAACACTTGCCAAATAAATGCCGGATGATCAATTAGTGATACAGCTGCTGGGGATTTAGCTCAGCGGCAAAGCGCCTGCCTGGCAAGCGCAAGGTCGTGAGTTCAGTTCCCGGTACCGGAGGGGGGAAAAAAATAATTAGTGATACAGGACAGGTGGAAGGTTCATGGATCTCCGAGCCTGATGGGGAAGGCTCAGTGCCATGTATAACACCGTGGCCCCAGTTTCTCTGTGCCTGTGGCTTCACCGGCACTACATTGGGTCTCCACTCCCGCTGGACAACCAGAGTTGCACACTATTCTTTAGCCCTAGATCATATCCCTCTGTTTTCATGTCAGTCTGCCTATTTGTCCTTTGAGTTTGCCCATCTTTAACACAACCCATAACCCATTTTACTGTCTACATTCTCAGTCAAGATTGTCATGCCTAAGATTGGTGGTTCTCAGACTGGTGTAAGTCAGTCACCTGGAGGGCTTTCCTGGAACACATGCTCATGGCCCCTCCCAGTGTTTCTGAGACAGTAGGACTGATGGGCTGAAGAGCAAACATTTCTAACAGCTCCAGGTGATGGCGACATTGCTGGTGGGCCAAACATACTTGCAGAACCACTGGTGCCACTAGCCTTCTCTAGGTAACCTCTCTCTGTTCATAACCTGTGACCTTTAAAAGCTGTATATAAGGTCAGGTTCCATCACCCTTTCATGCTGAGAAGTCACTGAGGCCTGAGGTCCTCCTACCCTGGCCCTTGCTCTCAACCTGGGTCCTGGCTGGCCCTGCCCCAGCCCAGCAGCACTCACTTGGAGCTGGCCCTTGAGTGGCCAAAGGACAAGTCCTTGTTGCAGGAGATAGGTGGCACATACACCTGGTCCTGCTTGGAGACACAGGAGGGTGGGCGCACAGGGCACTTCTTGACGGCTTTCTGGCCGCTGCAGGTGCTGTAGAAGCTATAGCGGTTCTGGGTGGTCTTGTTGCCCTTGGTCAGTGTGCCCTTGCGCAGGGTGCCCTTCGGGTCACAGTAGAGGTCGGGCTCGCTGCGGCTTGCCTTGATTTTCTGCATGAAGCAGATGTCACTGCCTGCGCCGGGGGTGGCACAGCTGCCCCGCGGATAGTGCCGGCTCCAGTTCTCCATCTGGCTGTAGGAGCTGAAGCGCCTGTTGTCTGGCTCCCGCTTGAGGGTCCCATTGTAGATCTAGACAGAAGAGAGAGAGGCTTAGTCAAGCTTCCTGATGGGGGATCCTGGAACTGCCTGACCAGAGCATACAGCCCTTTACTGGTTCCCATAATAAGATTCTGAGAATTTAGGACTGTTTGGAGAGGAAGGAAGCTTAGAATCATCTGCTATATTACTTTTTCAACTGCAGGTTACAAACCATTATGGATTAAGAAGTCACTGTAGTGGATTGTGCTCATTATTATTGAAAAGAAAAGTATAAAATACTATACCTGGGAATATAAAACATCAGAGCACAATACATGCAGGGTTTTGTGCAACAGTCAATGGGTGCTGGATCGCAATATGAAAATACTTCTTACAGTGGCGATATACCAAGAAAGTGTGACAGCCATTGATCTGGCCCCCAGGGAGCAGTTCATCAGGAGGCTGCAGGCCCAGAGAGCAGAGGCTTCCACCAGTTCCTTGGTGAAGTGAGGATGAAAGCAAAACTTGAGCTTGTATCCCCAGCCCTCAACTGGGTCATTCCCAGACCCCAGACCCCAGCAGCTTTTAACACACCCAACCATCCTGGATCACTTGTATGCAGGGCTCAGAAATTGCTATTCTAGTCACAGCCCTTTCCACTGTCATTTTTTTGGCTATATTTCTCATCCTGCCTTCTTTCTTTGCCAATACAAGAAGCAAATGGTAACAGACCTCAGGGAGAAGGTTTCTCAAAGGCCACAGAGACATCATCTTCCTGCTCCCTGGGCCTCTGTTACAGGAGCTGCCAGTTTGGGATCCATCTGGCACCTAGAGATGGCCCCAGTGCTGTGAGGTGGAAGTCATGGTGGGCCCCTGGGATTTATTGTTAGGCTGGCAGTGGGGAAATGCTGGCAAAGGCCCAACCCAGCAGGAAAACATACTCTGGACAGTGAGGCATCTCCAGATCTCTGTGTGAACCCCATGTGGGGTTAGCTTCCTTGGGAGGAGCCTGAAAAGCCAGACCCTTGGTGGGAATTAGCTCTGGGACAGAATTGTCCAAGGAAGACTTTCCCAGGAGCTCACAAGCTGGTGGGTCTGGCCTGCTTGGACTTGTTCTCAGACTAGAGGATCAACATGGAGCCTGATAAAATGTCTCCACACAGGTGCTGACTTGGGACTCACCTTTGCTGGGATAAGCCAGGGCCAAGTCCAGCCCAGAACCTTCCTGCCCCACCCAGGGTGGGGTTGGGGGAGAGGTGGAGGCCTGGGCAATTCCCCCTCCACAGCACATCTAGCTACATAGAACTGAGGAGAGGCTGGCTTTCAGCTGGGTCCACTTTCAACTCTGCAGAGAGTCAGTCACAGAAAGTAGGAAACAGCCGTGGTTCAAGCTCCCAGAATGACTGTGTGTTAAGCTGCCAGTTGTAAGTCACGTCCAAAACTCATAAGCCACAGACTATTAATCTTGGCAATGACATTGCATCCCCTTCACCCACACAGCCAGCTGTGTACTCAGGCAGTTGAAATTTTCTTGCCTGAACTGGGTTAAACCAACCTACCCCAAAGGAAGCTGGTGTCTGTGGGTTGGAGAGGCACAAATGAACAATAACAAGGCAGAGGAAGAGAACCTGGGCATTTCTGAGCATTTGGACATGGAGTGGGCACCTTGTAGCTTACATGGAAAATAAGCCTGCCCCTGGCCACACTGCATTCTCCTCTGGGGATGGAAGGTGGAAGATGACACTTTGGAGGGAAAGCTGAGCCTCCCCGACAACATGCCAAGCCTTAGAAGGAAACGCATCAAGGAGCTGCCTTGTTCTCAGTAAGTGACACACCCGGACGTCATCTCAGACACCTGATGAGAAGTCCAGATGCTCACCTGGCCCAAACCCAGAGAAGATGTGATCATGCTGATTAAACCTGACACAGGCTCCGGGCTTCGCTCTCTGCCTGGGAAAAGGAGCACCAGCAGCCCTGGCAAGTCTCAGCCCCCAAGCAACAGGCTCTGGCTGCACCCACAGGAGAATGGCAAAGAGGGGAAGGCTGGGATGCTCCCGTCAGACTGCATCTGCCAGCACCCCTAGCCACACCTCAATGGCATCATCTATTCCTGAGCATCCCATCCCAGCTTCTTGAGTCACAGCGCTGGTGGCCTGCGTTGTCTGACTATGGCAATTGTGGACAGCTGTGGATGGTCTTTTCCATCACCGGATCCCTTTGTTGTCACTTTGACAAGCAGGAGAGAAACTTCTCAACTAGACCTTGTCCTCCCCTAGAGCCATGAGAGGGTTGAGTCCTCTCCAAAGCTCAGATGCGGCAGGTTGCCACTTGCCCTCCCTGTAGAGACGGCCCATGAGCCAATGGTAGCTTCAGCCTCGAAGGCTGCAATGGCAGCGGTGCCTTGGGAATCTGGGAGCATTCCTCAAGTCTCCTGGCTGGGACTCCCCATGGCAGTATGGCTGCAGCTGGCATCTGAGGCAGTGCAGGTCTTCATCATATATAATGCCCTGAACATCACAGGATGTTTCGTGTTCCTGGCCTCCAGCCCTAAAAGTTAGCAGTGGCTCTCTCTCACTGTGATTAGCAAAAATGCTCCCTCGCCTCCTTTCCAAGCACTCTTCCTGGTCCCAAGTGAGCAGCTGCAGCCAGAAGAGACTGTGTGGGCAGTGGCCACATGTGGGCAGCAGGTAAGGGAGCTTTACGGCCCATATCTGCCCCCCCACCACTTAGATACCTATCTGCTGGCCGCCTCCTCTTCTTTGAATACAAAGGACAGTGGCACACATGCAAACACACACTCCTTGTCTGGTTATCCCATGCTTCCTTGGGAAACTCCAGCCTCGGCTGGGAGGATCCATGGAACAGGACATTCCAGACTAGAAACTCAGCTTCTTGGGAGCAGAGCTGACTGTTCAACCAGAGAGCAGGCTAGGTGGGACAGCCTGGCTGAAGCCAGGTTGCGTTCAGAGAGTTTCTCCACTTGGACGACAGTGGCGATCCTGGGGGTCAACAGTCAGAACCATAGGCCAAGGGAGGCCGGGAGCACTACTCCAGCTGGGAGCCTTCCCTGTTCTCCCTTTCTGCTGATGACTTAGGTATTTTTCTTCCCTTCTTGGAGAAATGTGTTTTTTTAACCCCACGTTGAATGCTCCTCTCTCTTCCTGTTCCTCCTTAAACTGGAAGCTCTCAGAGGCCCACCCTTATTTTGCAGGCAAGAAACTGAGTCCTAGAGAGTGGCTGAACCAAGTTAACCCCTTGCAGCCCCAGACCTAGGGCTTCAAAGACGGGAACATAGTCTGCTTCTGCTGGAGAAAACCAAGCAGTCTGAGGAGGCCTCGAACAGAAAAAGCTCCAGTTTATCCGAGGTCATTGCACAGCTCTTTAGGAAGAGATGGTGTCTGTCTGTCTTTCCATCTGAGAATGTTTTCTGTCCCTTTCCTTTGCATTCCCACTGCACAGACTGTGGTCATGACTTTCCTCAGTTTACCCCTGGGTAACCCCAGCACCTCACCTCTAGCGAGTCTCTGGGACTCTTGTCCCTGCCTTGTAATGCCTTAGTCTTTACCTTTCTCAGGGGAAGCTTCCATTGGCACCTGGCCTTGCTGGACAGCTTGCAAATTCTCTGCTTCTTACAAGGTAAGCATCTATCCAGCCATCTCTTCCCCTCCCAACACAGCCCCATATGCTGTCCCATGACAGCAGCTACATCCTGTACCCCGGCTTCCGCTAAGCCTCATCTCTGCCTTGCATCTCTCTCCCATCCTACCTGCTTGCAAATCCTACCTTTATCCCAGACCTCAAACCTGTTGTCTCCATGAAGCCTGCTCTGCCATAGTCCCATCAAGTGTCCTAGTTACCTGTGGTCTTGTTTCTTTTCTAGTTGCTAATGTGGATTTTGATCATTCCTCCAAGCTCTTTGTGGTGCCTAACACAGGGCTAGACTCCCTGAAAATGCTCACAGAAAGGGGTCCTGTGACTGGTGATGAAATTTTGTGCTAGAGATAGAGACTCTGGTTGCTAAGCTTTCGGGTTCCCAAGGCCTGTGAACTACCATACATGAAGTGAGCTCCTAGAAGGCAAGAGGCTTCTGGACCGAACAAACCACCTATGCTGGGGGCACAGCCTGGGTTCTGCTCACAATGGTCCACAGTGAGTCCCAGAGTTCTGTTTGAGCTCTGACTGACAGAAGCTGCCTGGCTCCTTGGAGTTGCGTATGTTCTGGGCAGGCCAAGATGAAAAGAGTGTCTGTGTGCCCAGCTATTAGCCCATTTTGAAACGAAGCTTCTGCCAGCAAGGTGGGGCTGGCCCAACCAGCTTTCCCGCGGGGCACACCCTGCTCTGCCCTACAAGTCACACACCCAGCAGAGTGCCCAACAGGGCCATCTTCAGCAAGGAGATCTCCCCACGCCCTTCACATGAAAGTGAATGTGCACACAACTTCCCGGGGTCCTTGTGCCTCTAAGGCCTGCACAGGGCTCTCTCAAGAAAAGACAGTGACTGGGAAGCCCTTCGAGGACGGGTTCCATGTGCCGTTTTTAGCACTCACCACTGCCTGTTCAGCACTGCTGAGGGGTCCTTGTGTGCACACCTATAGCAGCCCTCTTGCATCTTGCTGGGGTTTCTTTTGGTCAGGCTGGGGGAACTAGGCAGCACCTAGATAGGGCTCAGATCCTTCCCCAGCAAGGTGCCTGTGAGGATACACACAGAGCGTGGGCACGGAGAGTTCTCCCAGAGGGGCAGGGTGCTGCTTACTCGGCAAGCTGAATCAGCGTGGGAGCCTGAGTCACCAAAGATGGGACCTCAGCACAGACAGTGTCAGCCCCTGGGTGCTCGGGGCATGGCCCTTTTGAGAAGCAGGGGTCCCACCCAGAGCCGGCCCTTTTTTCTTTTCCTGGCACACTGCTGTGGACAGAGCAGCTCCACAGCTCAGAAGCCCTGCTGTCTGGGCAAAGAGCAACCCCTGTTGGCCTTGTAGGAGGCTGTGGGTGTGCCGCACTGTGGAATCCTCAAAGGTAGGGAGGAGTTGCACTCGTGGTTCCATCACCAGCACA